GATTTGATAGAAACATTACAACAATGTTTCCCAAATTGCATTACCATGAGGTAATTTTAAAAATTAGAAATAATATTCATGTATAAGAAAAATACATAAGCAGTACATCAAAACCATTATTTCACAGATTTATGGATAAATTTTTGTTTTTATGCTTATATGAAGTTTCCTATTTAGAAAAATGTATTTAAGCAATAAAAAATAGAATCTATTTAAAGAAAAATGTTAATAACAGCACAGGTAGTAAGTACTGTTGTATGGGTAGACAAGAAATAATATGAAGGTGGTATTTATATGACTAATTTTGAGAAACACTTGATGAACAAGTCATTCTAGTATAATAACCCCAAAGACAAATGATAATAATGTTTAGCCCCACCATTTGACTCCTATTAAACTAAGAAAGACATTTGAAGCAGGTAGAAGTGACTTGCATCAAGGTGGGGTGGACTTTGAAGGATTTGTCTATCCAAGTTCTGCCACCATCTACTTGAGCAACTCTATCCTGTGAATGAGAAAGTTTCCTGACATAAATGCTATTTATTTACAAGATGATAATGCCAAGTCCTATCAAACTTCCTGAGGTTTCATTGGACATTGCAATTTTATTAACACTTGTCTGATGCCACACTGTCAGAATTCTTTGTAAACTTTTTTTGTTTTTTGGTTGACCTGAATTTTATAGGGATTTTGTAACCAAATGACAATAGAACAAATAAACCAACAGATAACTACCCATTTCTATGAGAAAACGACTTCAGTCATCACGATTCCTAGCCCACTGAGTCCCCAGTAAGCAGAACAGATTGTCATCCAGCCGTCCCCCACCCCACTACCTCCCAGAAAAGCAGCTCTGCGTCATTTTCTTAACAATTTCAGAGAAAGAGACACCATCACTTTCTTATGTGGTGCTGTTCAGTGTTTTGATAGATCTTCCTTATTTCTGGAAACTAAATTTTCTTCCAGCTTGCTACCAAGTAAAGGCAGGAGTCTTCTTCGTTTCCAAGAACACTCCCTTCTTGTGTGAAATATCAATAATACAAAAATATCAGAGAATTCAATTTATAAAAATGTGCCGTTAGGCAAAAGAAAATCAAAACTAAGTATTTAATGTGTGTTTTTTTCTTTTTAAATGCAACTGAATTAGAATAGCTGTCTATCTCAAATCCTTGTCTTATAAGAATTTTTGGCATTGAAACATGCAGCAATTTTGACATTGAGACCTGCAGCAATGCTACCTAACTGGTCTATAGCCATCTGATGAATTAGCTCCAGATCTTCAAAAGCTCCAGTGTCCTTCATTCTTTTCATAACTAATCTGATCATGCTAGTTTCTGATATTATCAGATCTTACACAGAGAAGGCTTCTTTGATAAGCCTTTTTAAAACTGTCATAAAATATGCATAACATTTATCGTTTTAACCATTTTTCAGCATACAGTTCAGTGGTGTTAAGTACATTCACATTGTTCTGCAACCATCACCACCATCTGTCTCCCAACTTCTTTTCACTTTTCCAGATTGAAAATCCATACCCATTAAACATTAACTCCTTGTTTATGACAAGATTTTAAAATGAGTCAAAAGTAAAGAATAACCTTAGAGAGTTATTATAACCTTAGCAGTTGTTCCCCAGAGCATTGATGTCTTTGGGCCCCGATTATGAGTCCCTTCCAGCTTACTGAATGTGGTTAGCTGTTCATTCCTCAGAGCCTCTTCACTCAGGCCACTGGGGCTCCTTCTCAGCCCTGCAAGACAGAGTCATGATCCTGGAGGAACAGCTGCTTCACACTTCAGGATTATGGATCTGTTTAGTGTCTGTTCATCTCAACACATCACAGTTGCCGTGCAAAAAAACAGATGGGACCCTGATCTTTCTTTCAGTAGATCCACTGGAACACCCATCTTGAATGTTGAACAATGACCCCACAGAGAGAAAGTCATTTGTTTTCTCCAGTTAATAATCCCTTTCACAGGCTGGAATCTTTCATGTGCAGGAACACAGGAGCTGCTGGGATTTCCTGGCTTCCCTCCACAGCTTTTGTTTGCTGAAACAGAGCTTGAAGCTGTAATGGGGTGAAGCTTGTCAACACACAGGACTTTTCTCTGCTTTTGGAACATATTCGAGGTGGATTGCCCCTCCATAAAGCTCTGGTGTTTTTGGTTTTTGTTTTCTGGGGAAAAGAAATATCATATGCAGGTCAAAAAGAAAAAAAAATTGTAGTCTCAAGGCATTATTTGTTTGTGCATGAGAGGGCAAAGTCTGATCAGTTGACAAATTTGTTAAAATTATTTTTAGGTATAGATGTTGGTCTAGATTGCTCTAAATCAGAATTGCCTTATACATGAATCCTTAAAATATAAACTATATCCTGAAGACTATTTGCAAAGGCCGACACTATTCAAGAAAACTAGACTGGTGTCAGTGCCCCAGCAAGGGACTCCCATTGGGACATAATCTTTGCTGTCCAAAAGCAGCAGTTTCCCAGGTCAAATGGTACAGATTTTCTTTTGTATTTCATGGTACACAGGGATCTCTGGAACTGGAAACCTTAGCTAATAGCTTCTAACTCAAAACCAAGACTCAGAGGTGAATGAACTGAAATTATTATAGACCTCAGTAATCACATCTGTGGAGGTGTGTATGGTCCAAAAAACAGGGGATGGGATGGAGGAAGCTGCTCCCTTTCAAGGCTGAATGAATGAGGGTATTATACTCACCAAGGCAGGAATTCAATCAAATGATCCTAGAGGTGATTGAGAGTTCTCCAATCTTCCAGGAACTCAGAATAACCTGTTAAGACCCCATATTGTGATTACTAGGTGTACACTGCCCTCATCACTAAAGGAAAGACAATTCTAGGTCACCTGTCTCTCTGTTATGTATGTTCATTTTAAAAAACATCTCACATGGTGTAGAAGTAATTTGAGGACAACTGAACTCGTTTTGGGCAACTTAGTGACATCCTGTCTCAAAAAAAAAAAAAAATGTAAAGGGCTGTGGATGTAACTCAGAGGCAGAACATTCCTGAATCCAGTCCCCAGTATCACCAATAAGAGAAAGGCAGGGAGAAAGAGAGGAAATGCTTGAATTTGGTCTAGTTTTGCCTTGGAGGGTCCAAATCAAGTGTGTGTCTCCTTCCAAGGACCTCACACATTAGGAGTGCACTTGGTGAAGCCAAGTGTTCTAGATTTTTTTTTTTTTTTTTTTGGTGATGCTGGGGATTGAACCTGGGACCTTGTACATGCGAGGCAAGCACTCTACCAACTGAACTATATCCCCAGAACCATGTGTTCTAGAAATGGTTGAACTGGTTTATGGCTTAGAAAAAAACTGCATTCATTCACCCATCAGCAAATATTTTCAAGCATCTACCATGTTCCATTTTCAAACATTGTTACATGGCAGTGAACTAAAGAGGAAAAATCTCTGCCTTAGTGTGTTCTAGAGAAGGAAGGCAATAAACATTAAAGTAAGAAAATTACATAGGATGTTATGAGGCAAATATATGCTATGGAAAACATAATAAATTAAGATGTAGGGGATGAAGAAATAGCAATTTTTAATATTTAATATGCCGAACAGGCATAATTGAAAAGGTAATATCTGAGAAAAGACTTAAAGGAGGTGACCCAGTAAAACATGAGAACTGTGGGAGGATCCAGGATTAGCACATACAAAGGTCCTGAGGTGGCATCTCTAGGGAAAGCAGAGTACAGCAACTGGAGTGAGTAAGGAGAAAGGTAAGTCAGTAAAAGGTGGTGAGAGCCAGCAAGGTTAGAAGAATGGGTGCCAGATTGTCCAGGCCCCTAAAGACAATCCTAACTGAGGACGTCAGCTTTTAAAGCTGAACCAAGGGAAGGTTTGAACAGAGGCATAGCAAGATTTACCTTTTGTTTTAGAAGGATCACTATGGATACTGTGTTGAGATTGGATTGTAAGGGGTGATGATAAAAGCAGGCCGACTTTTGTGGCCAGGAAGCTTTTGCTTTAGTCCAGGGGAAAAATGATAATAGTTTGGACTGAGACAGTAGCAGCGATGAGAAGAGATGTGACTGGCTTCTGAACTATTTCAAAGGTAGAGCCAATGGGAATCCCTTAGGTGGAAAGTGGCACGTGATTCACAGGTTTGGGGCTGAGCAACTAGAAGGGTGCAGTAGGTTTTAGGGTGAGGCTGTATCTTAGTCTGTTTGGGCCACTCTAACAAATTATTATAGATTACACACAACAGAAATGTACTTATCACAGTTCTGGAAGTTGAGAAGTTTAAGATCAAGTTGCCAGTCGATCTGGTGTCTAGGAAGGACCTGTTTCTTCCTAGATGGCCATCTTCTCTCTTAATTCCCACTTGACGGAAGAGATGAGTGAATCTCTGGAGTCTCTTATAAAGGCACTAAGACCATTCACGGGAGCATTGCCCTCATGACCTCTGTGTTTCCTCCTCTGGATATCAACTGGGGACTTAGTATTTCGACAGATGAATTGGGGGAAGACAAACATTTAGAATATTGTCCATGAATTAGATAGCTAAATGTTGATGTGCTAATCATATTTGTGATATAACATTCATATGTTAATTACCCCTGCCAATTAAACTGAATTATAAATTATTCAGTTAAAAATTATTCTATGGCAAGTTACAGTGATGCATGCCTGTAATCCCAGCTGCCCAGGATGCTGAGATAGGAGGATTGCAAATTCAAGACCAGCCTCAACAACTTAGAGAGGCTTCAGCAGCTTAATGAGAACCTGTTTCAAATTAAAAAAGGACTGGGGATGTAGCTCAGTAATAAAATGCCCCTGGGTCACCCCCCCTCTATAATATCATTTTATGGTCTAATTCTTTTAGCATATTTATTCTTCTAGGATATACATTCTCCAGAATATAAAACCCATTCTCATTACAGCAGTGAAGTTGCCCATGTTTCCAGGTACACTACAAAAGAAGAAAATGGATTTGTGTCCTTTTTAACAATACCCGCTTTGCATTTCTCTCAAGGCTACTACATGTACATCGAGGCCTCCCATATGGTGTATGGACAAAAAGCACATCTCCGGTCCAAGCCTCTGCGAGGCATCCCTGGAAAACACTGCTTGACCTTCTTCTACCACATGTATGGAGCAGGGACTGGCCTGCTGAGTGTTTACTTGAAGAAAGAAGAAGACAGTGAAGAGTCGCTTTTATGGAGAAGAAGAGGTGAGCAGAGCATTTCCTGGCTCCGAGCGCTGATTGAGTACAGCTGTATGCAGCAACACCAGGTAAGCCAAAAGAGATAAGATTCAAGCGAGGGAAAACATGCATGTAAGCTTCTGATGTTTCTCCTTTTTCTCATTATCAAAGCGAATATTTTGTCCTTTCTCAAGGTCATAGATAAGGGTAGATTCGTTTAAGAGTAAACATAATTAGCCTCTATGTTGATTAAATCTAAGAAGTGATTGAGAAATTAGACAGGGAGAGAAAGCTTAGGATATTTATGCATAAAGTGATTTTTCTGCAATTCAATCGTGAAAGTGTATCTATTTTTATCTTAGTACATTATGAATGTCAAGTATATTTTCATGTGTCCTATAAACCTCCAAAACGAAATCTCCTTTCCTTCTAAGTATGGTGTTGCCTAATTAGTTGTTGCAGCTGCATCTTTTATTCCTCTACCCACATGCATGTAAGGGTTTTGTTTTAAGCTTCTATTTAAGAGTATGTATGGTCCAGAATAAGTGTTTTTAAGCCTCTGATCCTATCAGTGGATTGATATGAAAGAAAGTGAGCCTTGATATCAAGCCCTGGGTCTCCCTCTAGGTCCTCTAGGTGCTAAAGAAGACTTCTGTTCTAGGTAATCTTGATCATAAAGGAGTCTGGGCAGCAATGGGAAAAAGCCTTTTAAATTCTAATAGATGGGGCTGGGCAGCCAGTCTCTGCTGGAGAGCAGCAACTGCCTTTTGAGAGCCCCCAATTTTACCTGACTACCATGAGAACCCCAGAAAACATTGAGGAAATAACTTCCAGATACCTAATTGTTCTTAAAATTGCTGTGTAGAATTCTCAAGTGTAACTTCCAACTAAGTGCCCAACTTCTTCTCCCTCCTTGCTTCTGACTAATAAATCTCCTGGACCAGCACTCTAGCTTAGCCATTAGCCTGCCCAAATTCCAAATCTTCCTGGGAAGAGAAATCCAAAATAAGGGTTTAATTTTGTTACCACCTTACAGCGAAAATTAATTTTTTACAGATCTAAAAGAATTTCAGAAGCTCAGGTGGCCAGGTTGTAATGCCATCCAGTGTGCTGCATTGTTAAAGAACAAATGACAGAAGGAAGATGGGCCATTATTTAAGAAAGGCCCAATTAGCTCAGCATGGATAAACTGTCTAGAAACTTGGTAAAGAATAACAGTTCTATGAATAATATTGATGGTGATATAATGTCTATTACAGAAGGAAGTAGGTTGCTCAGGAACTTAATTGATTTTGATTCAGAGATGATGGATCAATTTTGTTAGGCTACTAGCATTCATACTTCTATCCTTACCACATGTTTTTTGAAGTGTGATCCGGGTATCAGCAGCATCAGCAATAACTAAAATGCAAGTTCACCTGAAATGCGAATTTTCAGGCTCCACCTCAGAAGTACTGAATCAAAAACTTGGGAATTTCTGGGACCCAAAAAATCTGTTTTAATAAGACGTCCCACATGATTCTGATGCATGCAAAAGATAGAGAATCTCTATGCTGAATTAAATGAATCTGGATCTTTAGGGATGGTACCCAAACTCTGACTGAAACTCCTCCTTCTCTTCCTCCTCCTTCTTTTTTCATTCCAATGCTGCATTGCAAAATGCTCCAAGCCCTCGTGCATGCTAGGCAAGTGCTCTACACTGAACTACACCTGCCAGTCCAGCATTGATATTTTCAAAACTCCCAAGTTATATTGATATACAAGTACTGTAAGATTTAAGTTCTGGAAAATAG